ATATTTTTATGAAGAGCAAGTTTAGTAAGGACTTTCATCTATAGAATGAAGCATGTTTCATTATTCTTGAATTTAGATGTTACAATTCTCAAATAAAGTGGTACCTCTTTAATAAATTGTTTATTAATTTCTTCATTATATGTTTTATCTTTTATGTAAAAACATTTTAGTGCAACAGTTAAATTGCCATCTTTCAACTCAGCTTTATATGCTTCACCAAACGCTCCAGTTCCGATTACTTTTTTATCAGAAAATTCATTAAAATCAAAAAATTTTATTTGTTCTTCTGATTTAACATATTCCAGCCAGTCAATTGCAATATACGAAAAAGAAGCTGATGACATTTTTTATGTTTTTTGTCGTGGTTGAATAGCATTAGTGGCGTTTAAATATGTATTCAGTCAGAGTTGTACGTGTAGTGATTATGTGTGACATGCAACTACATGTACATGTACACCAACCGCAACCTGAAAAAATTAAACAAATTTTAAACATCGATTATAGCACACCCATACGTTCAATTTTAATGTACTTTTTTCTTGAATGCGCCTAATTTTCTAGTTTTAGAAAATAAAATTTTTTATTCTAAACTTTTTGAAAAATTTAGATCAATTATTTGCGAAATTTAATTAAAGACATTGTGCATATAGAATTTTTTGCAAACAACTATCCAAATTATTTGATCTTTTTTATTAGATTCACCTTGATTTCTAGTGCTTTTCAAAAGAACTCAATCTTCAACTTATTTCAATATAATCATCACAATTATATTCTAGAACACCTGAATTTGATCGTTATTTAGCTTCATCACTTGATGAAAATGTTGCACCATTAATTGGTATTGATAAATATTAGGATAGTATTCTATTTAAAATTTCAAACTCTGATTTTTAATATCTAGTATTTAAATTTCAACCTCAATTTTTAATAACATACAGTTCAAAGTTAATTATACGAAACATGTACACATCATACAAATATCATCTACAGCGATCGATAGCAATTGTGATACATTAAGCTTTCTTTTTTAGTGCATGTCGTTTTTACCACAAACAATAATGTACACAGTAAAAGTTGCACATAGACTTTGCTACACAACACTTATTTTCTAACATTTCAATTGATTCACGCATTTTATCAAGTGAACTCAAAGATGGATAAAATTAAAAATGTCACAAGAGGACAATATAATCTTGATGTGTATTATCAAAATGGAATCGGAACACAAAAAGATGAAAAAAAAGCATTTGAATGGTTCTTGAAATCAGCAGAAGGTGGAGATACTGGAGGACAAAATAAACTTGGCTGGTGTTATCAAAATGGAATCGTAACACAAAAAAATGAGAAAAAAGCATCTGAGTGTTACTTGAAATCAGCAGAGGGTGGAGATGCATTAGGACAGTATAATCTTTGAATGGTTCTTGAAATCAGCAGAGTGTGGAAATACTGGAGGACAATATAATCTTGGTGTGTGTTATCTAAATGGAATCGGAACACAAAAGGATGAACAACAAGCTTTTGAGTGTTACTTGAAAACAGCGGAATCGGGAGATCTTGATGCACAATATAATCTTGCTTTATTATGTGGTATGAGCGTGGAAAATGATCCAGATAAGGCATATATATCTTTATTAAAATCTGCTGATTCTGGTCATGAAAGAAGTCTATTTTTATTAAGGTTTACTTGTATAATTACAAAAGAAATGGCGAAAAGTTTGTTCAAGTATCTTTAATGCTATCTGAAAAATCTGAAAGTCCCAATTCATACTTCTATTTTCGACTTGGGCAATGTTGTGAATATGGAGAAGGGACATGAAAAGATGATGTTCAAGCATTTAACTGGTATTTAAGAGCTGCAGAGCTCGGGTACAATAAAGCTCAGTTTAATCTTGGAAAATTTTATCAACATGGAATAGGTATTTCAAAAAATCATGACTTGTCATTAAAGTGGTATCAAAAGGCTAATGAAAACGGTCATGATCGAGCTCCCGAAATGGTCGAATCTTTCAATTTTGAAAAACTTTATTCGAATTGATAGTTAAAATTAGCATTTATTTTAAGTTCTAAATCACATATGCAGTCAGACCTCCCTAAATGCAATATCTCTCTAAATGTAAGCTTAAACTGATTCAAATATCCACTTAACCTCCATAAATGCAATTTTTCTTTTTGTTCTCTAAGATACAATGTCAAAAAGTTGTCTGAGCACGTTGCATTTAAAGTAACTGTAATTATCATAATTTATTTTAACATTAATATCTTTAGTTTCATTCCTAAATTATTGTATTTATATATTGTATTATCTTTCCAAAGTTTTATTTCAATATACAGCAAATTTTACAAACATTTTACATGTATATGATTTAAGATTACAGAGTATTACCTTTTAAATTAAGATTATGCCAAAACTATTAAGCTTAATAATAAAATTTTTTTTCCATGCAGCTCTTGACTTCAGCTACCTGAAAATAAAATTTTTTTCTTTTACAATGTCCAAAAGATGTGAACTTACTGAGTTTGAATGAGAAGAAATTATAGATTTCTGAAAAGGAGACCATAGTAAACAAAATATTAGAGAAATTCTTGGTCATTTTAAAATTACTATTCATGACACTATAATAAAATATAAAAATTCAGTAAATATTACAGATGCTTTACATTCAGGAAGATTATTAAAACTTATAGAAAGAGAAATTAGAGATCTTGTAAAATTAGTCAAGAAAGATCAATAACAATTACTAAAGAAAATGACAAAAAAATTTATTAATTTCAGTATCTTCTAGTACTGTAAAATATACTTTATATATTAAGGAATTTTATAGATGAGTTGGAAAGAAAAAACTATTTATTTCTGAACAAAATCATAAAAAAAGACTAGAATGATATTGTGAAAAAAGAAATTGAAATAATAAGTAGAATTCTATTATTTAAAGTAATAAATCTTGCTTTATGTTATTTCAAAATGATGTACATCATTGGGTTTGGCATAGATCACATGAAAAATATGATGTAAGCTACTTAATTCCAATTGTAAAATCTGGAAATCAAAGTATTATGATATAGTAATGTTTTGTAAAAGATAAAATTGATTCTTTAATTCAAGTTTCAGATAGAATAACAGGTTTTATATATAGAAATACTGAAAATATTTTTTTATCCTTTTATAATAGTTTAGATAATAATTCATAATATATTTTTCAAGATGATAATTTCCAATGTATAGGACAAGAATGGTCAATAAATAGAAAGAGAATAATTTGATATTAAGTCTTTCATGATTTGCATAGAGCCCAGATCTTAATCCAATTAAACATTTGTGAGATATTTTGGAAAGAAGAATTAGAAAATATAAATCTCATCCAAAAAATATTGGAAAATTAATAGTAGTTTTGAAGGAGAAGTGAAATAAAATTGAGCCTGAAATTTTAACAAATTTAGTTGAAAGTTTGTCAAGAAGGATTCAAGCAGTATTAGATAGTCATAAAAATCCAACTAGATATTAATAAAATTCATATTTTCTAAATAAAATGATATAAATTTTTAATAATGTTTATTTATAAATTGTTAAGAAATTAATTATTGAAGTTTGTGCATTTTCATCCAGTTTTAAAGTGATTAGACACTTTTGACTAGGGAGTATATATATATTTTTCTATTCATTTATGATTTTTTTGAATTATTATTAAAAATCTGTAAGCCAAGAAATTATAAATAATATACTAGTTTTCAAAAGATTTAACATTATGCAAATTTAATTTCATCTTTGAGTTCCTTTTGTAAATGTATTTATATTGATATATTATAAATTATTTGAAATAATAACAAAGTAAATGAGATAATCATCATTATTATTATTATGCTATATCAACTATAGATAGAATATGTATTAGATTGCATTGTAATGATTTAAATTCTATATATAACTTCCATTTACGCTAAAAAAAATATACATATTTATTTGATACATTAAAAATCTCTTGATATTTTAGCATATATTTTAAATGTATTTATTTATATTATTATTTTATTTACTGATGGTATTATATAGAGGATTGTGTATTTAATATTAATTTTAGCATTTTGTTTTAATATTATTATCATAGTGACATAAATTTCTTAATTCCTTAATTTTTTCCTGGTTATACAAAATTGTATATTTCTATATTTTTTATTTATTTTATAAATACTCTTATTTATATATCATATATTACTATATTTATTATCATGTTACTATTTTTAAACATTATATTTTATCTTATATTTGGGATCTATATTTTATTATACAATATTCATGCACATAGTAGAATAGTATAGTGGAAGATTATTTTTAATTTTGGTGGAACAGTTACATTTGGATGATGATTTCAAATATCTTTTCTCATTCTTTAACATTCTTCCTCATTCTTTCACATCTTTTCATACCTTTTCATATCTTTTCATGTCTTTCAATATTCTTTTATGTACTCTGATATTCTTTAACATTCTTTGATATTTTTTAACATACTTTGATGTAGCCTATTCATAATTATTTATACTGTTAAATTTGATAAAGCTTTATTCAAACAAAAATATAGATACTCTGATAACATATACAAACAGATTAAAATATTAAGATGAAATATTTAAATTATCATTATACTTATGTAATATAAAGAATTATGCTAGCAAATTATATAATATTTAGCTATATAAATACTATTATAAATTCGCGCGAACATATGCTCGTCATTTTTTTATCTTTATCTTGGTCAACAACGAGCCACCCAATCAAAGAGGAAACGTATCGTCTTTACTCGTAACGAGTTTTTATCTGGCACCCAAAAGCCGGCAACAAAACTCAAGTCCAGACCTATATCAGTACTGAAAGGCACATGTCTCTTCCATCCGGTATACCACCGGCACAATGTCAACCACATTATCATATGGAAAGAATGCTGTATCCACCCAGTTCAACAAGTTTATCCACCCGATTCCAAGCTCCTTGTCGAAAAAACTTTGCTCTAAAATTCTTCGTCGATTTCTTCGCGATAAGTGTCGACTAGTTTCCAAATAACCGGCTCAGCCAAAAATTCATGCCTAGATCAAGATTACAAAGTTTTACACCGTTTTCTTGAATATGAGTCCAGTTTTCTAGAGTCCCTCCAAAGTCACTTTTGTATGCCATAATCTAGCCTGAGCATGTATTCAAAATATTCCTTTACAACGTTTAAAATAATGACATGACTTACTGTTTTTGCTGCCATTGTGCTGGTCGAGAAATCACAGTCTAGAATTTTTGAGAGATCCAAATTTTCGATTTTCTTCGAAGTTATGTTTCAAAATGATGAATAACCTCAAGCCACTCACCTTCAAATGTGTTGTTGTCGTATGTTAAAATATCACCAGCTTAAATTATAATTTTTGTTTTCTTTCATGTTTAACAAAATAACTACGAATCTTTCTGCGTTGATATTGATATGAAAACTACCCTGAGCGATAGCTAACAATACGTCATCTAATCTAGACGAAGATGTTGATGATGATTATACACTTGATGAATGACAGCGACAAATCCATGGGTATATCCGCCCTCGATTTTGGTTTTGGGATTATCGCCGGTTTCTGGATAATCTACCGAAATAGCGTGAATAACTTTGTTTTTATTAACATTGCGAATGAAATATTCTTTGATGTTTTCGCGTTCGAGTAGCTTGAGAGATTTGGCAACATTTGGGCCAACTACTTGAGTACTTTTCTGTAAAGTTGCTGAAATTGGTGAATTTATTCGAATCAGAGCAGACAAACCTTATCATTATCTTATGAAGTCGTACTTCATGACGTCGTAAAAAGATTTACTTATCGTTATAACTGGTTTACAATTCTCCAGACCCAGCAATTTGACGATGTACATGTACCAGAAAACCTCATGTAAGGTTTGAAATTAGGAAACTCAAAAATAGCAGGCTAGGCAAGTGCAAAATAAAGGAACTAAGTTTTGTTTGAAATTATATTCCATCGTTATTGGTTTGCATACCTGATAACATCACTTTTTCGCACAATTCCAATAGTTTGATGCTATACGTATTTTCAGAAACCCAAAGTTTTACAAATAAAATCTTTAAATTATTAAATTAAATCAAAATTGCAAATTTATATCTTATATTGAGATAACTCGCTAATTGAGTTTCAACTAGCGTCAACATAGACATTTTAACCATTTAATAAAGTAATCCTATTATTTTATTATAGGTGAAGTTGTTCATTATATTACAAAGAATATGTTTATAAATTTTGATAAAGATATAAAGTTAGTTACATTTATAATTTATAATTTAATGGTATTTTTAATAAGACATTATATCAATAAGTCTTAAGTAACTTTGTTCTTCATTTTAAAAACATAAATTTGCAAACTTTACGAAATTTTATTCTCTCTTTATCATATAATTGATATCCAATTTAAAAATTCTGAATCTTTATGATGACCATTATATATAGGAAAGCATAGGCAGGCTCTTTTAAAAAATTTTTGCTCACGACAATTTTAAAAATCTAGTCAATTTAAATTTTGCCGAGAATCTTTTATCATTACATGTATCAGTATGTGTATAGATACCAGTCATTGATTTTATCCAAAGATTACGCTGGGAAGTTTTTTGAAAAATTATTAGTAATTTAATTAAACGCCAAAATAAGAATTGCCGATCTACATGTATCTATGGCGATTAAATGCATCACATGGTTAGTAACATCGAAAATTATGAATGTACTCCTTCTCATTATTTATGACGACAACTCTACATAAGCTTTCCATCAAAAGGAGGCAATTGGTACAATTCTTCCCCAAGTAATAACATACTCGTATGCACTCTTCGTAAAGTCGTTGTATCGTGACATATTGTTAGGTTCTTCGCTCCAGAAAAGACATCATATTGTGACATTAGTAGTGGTATTATTATTTTCCGACAAATATCTTCTATAATTTGATTGCTTTTAATGATTTTTCATCAATATTTTTGGCTTTGTTGTGATTATTGTTTTCAGAATCATATCGACTCGAAAAACTGGCTCAGGATGTTTTTTTATTCGTTAATTCAATAAATGTTTTATCGTGATGATGATGATAACAATGATTCTGAAAATGATTGTCGTTATCATTTTTATTGCTATTCAAAATAAGATGATATTTACTTTTGTTAAATCTCAAAGAAAGTTTCCACATATCGTTAGATAAGTTTCGCCACTTTTGTTAAATTTCAAAGAAAGTTTCCACATATCATTAGATAAGTTTCGCCACTTCTGATAAATTGTTGTATCTCAACTGATCGTATTCGCATTTACGTAAAGGCAATTTCGTTAAATTTAATATGGATCAACGTTATTATCATTACATTGATAAAAAATGAGATTTTTTTTCAAAGATGCATATATTTCTTTATGATATAAGATAAGTAGAATCGGAAGATTGTGAAGATGAAAATGACAAGTCAAATTCAACGAGAATATTATTACTACTGCTGTTATTAATAGGTTATAATAAATACTTTAATTGAAGAGGAGTGTTTTTCATTCAAACCTTTTTTGAAGATCTTATACATCATCGATTAAAAACAAGAAAGTTATATACAAGATGGCACAATAGAAATAAATTATACTTTAATTTTATTTCTATACATACAGTATGTGTTTGTTTAATAATGCATGAATATATTGCTGATACGAATTATACACTTCTTTAACAAAAACATCTTCAATTTAAGATTGCATAATATAGCCGCAAGCCTCCAAATGATACCGGCCTATAGTATGCATTTAGAGACTAAGTTCAAGATGGCCAAGAGTATGTCAATTAAAGGCGTTATGCATCTAGAGATTATATAATATTTATATATATTTCATGATTATAAATGTAATGCAAATGCAATTTTCTACACAGGAGCCAAGAAAATTTATGGCTCCAGCTCTAGCGACGACGATTAAGATCCATACTCGATTATTTTATTACTGTCTTATGTATATAAAATTTTTTTATCGCTAATTAATACACCATTAGCCATTCAAATAGCTTTAATATCACTTTGATTTCTCAAGGCATTGAACCTATAACCTCCTCAAAAAAAACACCTCAAATTTTGATCATGCTTCCTTTAGAGTAGCACATAATCTTTGGGAAGCTTTTGCAGACGCCTCTATGAAGTTATGGTCGCTAATTGTTGACTTTCTCTATTTGACTATTTCGTGACTTTTTTCCAATGTTATTTTGCTGAATCATCATGTTTTCTCAAATCAATGATTATTAAAAGGGACAAAATTACATGTACCTTTAAAATCTTCAGATAAAATTTGCACAGATTGTTATTGAAAATGTCGTGAAATAGCTTTTTGATTTCTTTTAAATGTGCATTTTTTTTTATTGTTAAGATCATCTCTAACTTTTTGTGACGGCTGTATAGTCAATCCCTCGTTATATTAACATGACACCCGTTAATATGACCTAACCGAAAATTTCAGTTTCCTATATAAAATATATAAATTGTTAATTAGCACTTGAAGAAATTTGCTTCCAAGAAATCTTGCTTTAAGAAATAAATTGACTCCTTAATACATGTAGTTGGATTTTATCATGTATAGTCGACGCTTGATTTACCGATTACCCGGTTTAAAAGAATTGCGAATTAACGATCCTTTCTCTCAGGCCACCATATTGGAACTGACTTAATTTACGGCTTAAAGTGGTCCAGAAATATCATTACCAATCATTCGGTAAATAAGAGTTGACTGTACATGTATAATGAGGATTGTGTGCATAACACAGTGTTACCGTAACATTAAATTGCGTAATTCCTCAATTTTTCGTTAACGTTAAGAGACCATTTTTTGGAACAATAATTAGTTAGCGTTCTCTTACCGTTATTACGTAAACTCGCTAATCCCAGAAAAATTATGATAGGATCTGCATTTGTGCCATGTTTTCTTATACATGCACATGTACTGTTCATGTATTCACACACACGAGTTTGTCACACATAGAATTTGAATCATAAATCCCGTAACAGTATAACGACAACGATTATCGTTTGTTTTACTATCATTTAACAAATTCACCCATTTTATTCCACTGGGCTCGAAGATGGAATCAAATACTCATGATGAGAAAAAAGCATTTGAGTGGTACTTGAAATCAGCTGGAGATGCATCAGGAGTATTGGTTGGTGTTATCGAAATGGAATCGGAACACAAAAAGATGAGAAAAATTCATTTGAATTGTACTTGAAATCAGCAGGGGGTGGCGATGTAATAGGACAACGTCTTCTTGATAGTTTTATCGAAATGAAATTGGAACACAAAAAGATGAGAGAAAAGCATTTGAGTGGTACTTGAAATCATCGGAGGGTGGAAATGCATTGGGACAAAATAATCTCGGTTGGTGTTATCAACATGGAATCGGAACACAAAAAAGATGAGAAAAAAGCATTTGAGTGGTACTTGAAATCAGCAGAGGGTGAAAATGCCAGAGGACAAAGAGTCTTGATGCGTGTTATCATGAAGGATTTGGAACACAAAAATATGAGAAAAAAGCATTCGAGTGGTATTTTAAATCAGCAGAGGGTGGAAATGCAATGGAACAAAATAATCTTGGTTGGTGTTATCATAAAAGATTTAGAACACAATAAGATAAGAAAATAGTATCCGAATGGCACTTGAGATCAGCAGAGGGTGGAGATGCAATAAAACAAAATAATTTTGGTTGGTGTTATCAAAATGGTTTCGAACACAAAAAGATAAGAAATAAGTATTTGAGTAGTATTTGGAGTCCGGAATAACGCAAAAACCATTAAAAATGAATATTTTATAGTGATGGAATCGCATAATTGTATGACAAAAACAATAAAAATCATCACATGTATTCCTTCATGAAAACAATATAAATTTTGATAGAAGCTGAGATAATAAACACATGACTTTTACTGTAAAGTCAGCTAAGTTAATATCTAAATCTATGATTTTCTTGCAAGTTACTCAGCATATCCTCATTTTTTTTGATTTCATCAATTTCGTATGGTATACTAATATCAAAATCTATTTTAAGAAAAAATAATGAAATTAATGAATTAAAGAAATTGATGACAATCAAATGTAATGTGATCTTACCTTCGTTTGGAACATACAAACTGACATTTGTAGAACCTAAATATTAGAATGTAATTTTTATATCAATATAAACATGTATAATAATTATTTCTATTATACGTACCAGTATCATTTGGGATTGAAATTAATTTCGAAGTAAATATTCGACTTATGTAAATTGCATTTGAGTGAATTTGTTGTTTTTTGTTTATATTCGTAGGAATGCTTTTTTGGAATTTCATCTCCTTGTGAAGTTCTATCAAATTTTGTCTCTCTA